AAACAAGCCAGTTTTCATGTGAAATTGCTCAGAAATTCTCAGTATGCAGGAGACCATTTTGTACATGTGCAGCTCAGGCTTATCTGCCCGAGTGTTCTGTTAAACAGGGTTGAGGCGACAGCGAGCTGGAGATTAAGGTTTCGCACAGAGGATAGCATTTCGGTGCTGTTGTATTAGGTCCTGTCATCCTGCAGGGCTGGGTTACAGGAATAAGAGCCAGTGAATCTAAGGGAGCGCTGGGTTTTGTTCTCCACTGTCGTGCTCTTGTGGAGACATCTGTCCACTGTTCTACTCAACTTCTCATCCTCATGTTCTACAGCTGCCTCACTTTCAGTCTCTGTGCAGTTTTTTGAGATAAGTGCCCCAGTGTAGAACATCGGTAGTGTCCGTGTTATTTCGTATTAGCCTATGATTGCATTAGATGTTGTGTGAAACAGCTTTGAGTAAGGTGCAGGCTCACATACCTGTCAGAAATGGGTGGTCAGTTCTGTGGTGAGCTCTGTAAGGACTCCGATTCGCCACATGTGCCTATCGCGGACCTTAAGCTGGCCGTGTCACCTGAGCGCCTCGACCCTAAGGCTCCTCTCCTGCATCGTCATGTTTTATTCAGCACCAGGGGAGTATTGGAAAATCATCCATTGCAGGCAGGCAACAACCCGAGCAAATAATCCAGGTTGACCATCCAGTCTTTCATAGATGAGCCCCCTCTACGCCTCAGTAAGAGAGTACACCTAGGCCTCAGTGTGACGATGACAGAAGGCCACAGATTTGACATCCATTATTCAACTGCGGGGCTGGAATATACGTGGTGTACTATGGGGATTCGCTGAGTCAGCTACTGAATAAATGTTGAAGCAAGTGTGGAAGTGCTGCATGAGGTGGCCACCAAGAAAAAGTTTGCTGGAAAATCCTCTAACTTTTTAAAATGTGAACATTATCAGCCAGTGATGGATAAATGTTCAAATACAAGAAGCTACACAATCGTAGATCTATATTTTGTGTAGGATTTGGTGAAGAAAAAGTCATATTGTCATTATTTAAACCGATAAATGAAAGAGAAACTATTAAAATCATGATGTGACATTTGTTGTGGTCTGTACCAGACAAACATGTTTTCTTACATCTGTAGAACAAGACTTGTAGGCCAGGGCATCTCTACAGTGCTACTGTACTTCATTATAATGTATTTTACCTTTTTTATAAAAAAATTGCAAACTGCGATTTGGATATTATATTAGGCCATATTGTAATTTTGATAATATTTATTTATATTTTACTGGCATTCGGCTTGTGTTCCACCCTCTCCAAAAAGCATTTTGGTATTTTTTCATAAGAGGCAGTTTGGGGTGAAGGACAAAATATGACATAAGTGTCAAAACATGCAGAAATAAGTAATTAAATGCATTAATGAATGGAAAAATAAATTTAGTTAATGACAATTTCTGTATTTTTATATTTAAGCTTGCCTCATTTTTTTTGTCCTTCATAGTTTGGGGCCATGTTTGCCTTTTTTATTCAGAGAATGATGTCTCTACTGCAGTGAAAGTAACTGCCAACAAGGCACAGTAGTAAAACTTCCCGATTCAAACTAACTCATAAACCTTTGGTTGATATCACAGACATCCAGACGCGTTCATGTCTTCCCTACAGATTTCAAGGCAAACCAAGATGTTGGTAAAGTAGATGATTGATGAACCAATACACTGAGACAATGTGGGGGGAAAAACTGGCAGAATATTTACGGTCAAAGGCAGTGGCTGGACTACAGATTTCCTTGGATAATGATTGTCTGTAAATCCACCAGACCTTTTCTATAAATGTATTTTAGAGTTGTGTAGATTTTGCAGTCTGAGCTGTAGTTCATACCACAGTTGGATATTTCTAATATTCCTGATGTGGTAAGAGAAATGTCCTTCTTCCAAGCAAGAGTAAAAAGGCGACCGGTTTCTTCCATTCCTGGCATACCTGGCGTTAAAGACAGGAAATGAAACTGTAAACTCTAGATACGTCTTATCAGGTCAGACACAGGCAGCTGGTCATCTAAACCCTGTCAGAGAGGAGATACTGCCCTGTCTGGTACCTCTGAACCTGCACTGGGCCCACTTTTAAATCAACCTTTCACTTGATTTGTCATAGCAGGGATGGACTTAAATGTGTGTTAATGCTGCAGAAGCTGTAACAGAATAAATCTTCATCTTCATGTGCATTGGTGGAAGTCATGATGTATGCATGCTTTGTTCATATTAATCTGCTGTTTTTTTTTTTTTTCTAGATCTATTACCTAAGTGACGCCCTAAATGTACATAATCACAGCCTGAAAGAAACAAACAAACATCTCTATTACAGTTTGTCTCTCCTCATTGAGTTCATGCCAGGGGTTTATGGGAGGTGTGCGTAGACTAATCATTGTTTCATTCATCCAGTGAAATGCCAACTGTCCAAGGTTCAGTGTAATTATGAAAATGAGAACATAAATGTCACAGACGAATAGTCAGGCTGTAAATAGGTTGAAGGCAGCAGTCAGCCCCCTGAACCAGCGGATCTCCTAGCAACAAGCTAGTCCCAGGTTGATTTGAACGTGAATGTGGCTTCATGGAAAGTCTTGATATTTTGGATTTTAGGTGGTTATTTTCATAGTCATAGTTTGGGAGCTTGGTTGTGGTACTCGGGGCCTGGTGTTGCCGATTTTATTAAATCAATTATTCAGGTCTAACCTTATGATTATTTTCATTGGTACATAGCAGCTAAAATAAGAATGTCACTGGTCTAGATTCTTGAACTTAGCCTCATGCAGTGAGACACAGGGGTGGTGAACCTTCCAGCCAGCCGCATGCTGTTGATTAATTATGGAAAAGCAATATAATGTCACAGTTGGAGATGTACTGTGGTAAAGTCAGGGAACTTGGATATCAAATTACCTCCCAGATGTTGGACAGACGTGGAGCGGAGGAAGGCTACGGGCTGAATTGTTCACAAAAGTCCATTTAATTGAAAGATAGTACAGCAGACGGGCCAAACATACTAATGACTCCTTTCCTATAAGTTTGAGGAAGAGGACTCGCACCCCTATTCAAGTGGAGGAACAGTTAACTTTCAGGACTTTCACTGTTTGTGGGGGAGAATATAATGTGGGAGGAGAGGAAGAAGGATGTGTTGAGATACTTGTGGGCATGAGGGGGGGTGTTAAAATATGGTTTGGCTTGAGGCCAGAACAAGGCATTTGTCTGGATGTCACACACAAGGGAGACTGTCTCCTCAGTTTGTCTGCAACCAAGCCACTGCATATCTTAGCTGTGGTTTATCAGCATATTGTGTGCTTGCTCTCTCTCTCTCCACACACACACACACACACACACACACACACACACACACACACACACACACACACACACACACACACACACACACACACACACACACACACACACACACACACAGAGGGATGCCCTGGTGAATTTAGGTTTGAGTAGCAATGCGATTAATCCGAACAGCAATGTCAGAAGAATGTAGCTCAGACTAGAGGCAAAGCAAGTGGCCATATTTAGCAAAAAGCAAGAGAAACGGTGCACAAGTAGGTTAATGTAAATATATATTGGTCAAAAAAGTATTGACTTAACAAAGAAATGCTATCTGTCATTGTGATCTGAAATACAATACCCCGGATATTAGTGTGTGTTTATTGAACACTTCCTGCCATTCTGTCAAATAATGCTTGACAAGCAGTTGGCATACAGCAAACAGCTTGTTTACCTATAGGGTTCACGTATTGATCTTGGCTGATTTCATGCAGAGTCACTGTCCTGGAGTGATGCTTGTGTGTGTTCCACCTGTGCCATTCAGTCTGGAGTCATTCGAGAGACTTTGATCACTACCTGTATTGTTTCCTAAATGCAGAAAAAGGACCTCGCCAACACTTTTCTCAGTAAGAATTACAAATGAGCCCAAACCTTTGACTCATGTTGGAAGTGCCCTTGTGTTTGCTGACTGTCTGCTTTTCACTCAAAGGGAACATGAAAGATTACATTAGTGTTGCTCGCTTTCACTCTCTCCCCCAGTGTCCCGCTCACAAACAGATGCTCACACACGAGTACCTCAATTTAAAACAAATGACAACATATACACAAAATTGGCACCAGCCAAATGCTGTTGGAATATGCAAGATGGTAGATTTGCTTCACTTACTGGCCAAAAAAAACAAAACAATAATAATCTATTGAGTGCATGGTACAATTTGAACAGTCACTGGCCGGTGGACAGAAAAGTTAATTTTCCACTCTGGCTGAAATACAGCATTTTATTAAAATTTCATGGTAGACCTCCTGTCATAAACATCTGTCAGGAGGAGATCGAAAGAGAGGGACTGACTTCATTAAGCTCTATATTAGAAAACATTACAAGGAAAATAAAAGGCTCACTACTTAGCGAGAAATGTCTGTTTTTAGTTGTAGCTATTAGAGGATCTAGTGTTTGTGTTTCTAACATCACAGATATCTGTATCTAAGTCTTCACTGTTTGCTGATGGATGGATAAACTCTGCTTTAATGCACGTATGAAATGATGAGAGAGGCTGCTGAACTGAATCCACACTGGATCCAGGCTCACATGTGTTAATAGGCAGTATTTTTTTTTTTTTGTAGCTGGCTCCCTTGTTTGCTTTTGCCAGTGTGTTGTGCCAGTGGGCAGGAGCTCTGCTTGGTTTTCTTTTACTAGAGCCAAAGGTATTTATCACACCACTTTGATTTAGAAGTGTAGAAGCTCCATCTAATCTCCTTGTGTCTCTTCTGAAATCCCATAACATCAGTTTTAATCAGCCGCAATAACTGTTATGTAGTTATTTGTTCACACTTGAGGGAAATAAGTGCAAAACTATCATGTAACAAACATAAATACCAAAAATGTCAGCTTCATTTCGAAATCTGCAACCGTTTCCAGTTATCAGGGTGTGTATGTGTGTTTCATTGTCTTCATCCCACCTGTGGGTGTGTGTGTTTTGTTTTTAGGAGCTGCTGGGTGTGCTTCGCCACAGACGAGGATGATCGCACGGCTGAGTGGGTGCGTCCGTGTCGTTGCCGCGGCTCTACCAAGTGGGTTCACCAGACCTGCCTGCAGCGCTGGGTGGACGAGAAGCAGCGGGGCAACAGCACGGCACGTGTGGCCTGCCCACAATGCAACGCAGAATACCTCATCGTCTTTCCCAAACTGGGTGGGTTGCATCTCACAAAAGTAGGGCTGAGATAAGCTGGGGGCTTAGAAATAACAAGACAACCATGAAGAGGTGCTAGCTTGGCTTTGTGGTTTCTTTCAAGGCCAAGATGCTTCATCATTACTGATCAGCAAGGAGGCTTCAAAGGGTACCAGAGCAAAGTTTCTGTGCTCGCAGGACAAATACTCCTTCAGTTTTATTTTCTTAGGTCAAGAAAAAAATGTTATTCTTATTGGATATTATTATTATTAATAATAATAATAATAATAATAATAATAATAAGAAAGTATAAGATAGTACAATCGTTTTTAATGGAAGCTTGGCGGATAATTCTCCAACATGTTTGTGTAAAGAGAAGAAAAATATTGCCTGTCTCCTGTGTTGATATGGCACTGAGATAGAAACTGCCAAAAAGTTTCTAAGTCGTAATTCTGAATTTGATTTGTTGTACTGTCGAAATGTCATTTTCCACCAGTTGCGAGCATTGAAGCGGCGTTACAGAGCATGTTTCCATGTAAATAGCCTGCTAAAGCTCCTCTTTGAGGCAATCTTAAGAGCCGCTGGCCTGTAACTGTACCCAAAGCTCTAAGAGCTATTCAGTTTGTCTTGCCTCAGTGGATGTTTATTTACTCCGGAGCCAGCATAGGTTCTGTGGTGATCTGGGTAAATATTTCCTTTCAGTGTGACGAGGAACAGAAGGGTGCTCACTTGTTATGCGGCCCAGCTCCTGGCTGATTGACCAGCAGCAGTTTAGAGAAGCGGCTGCCGCAATTATCCTGACACGTCAGACTGACGAGGGCTTCAGTTGTTCCCAAACACCACTTATGACTCATCTAGTGAACATACACAGCTATGCTTATTTGGCCAGAACCTCGTCACTTTTAGTTTCTGTGTCAGGTTCCTTTTAACTTTCTAAGACAGCGGCTGACTTGTCCTCATGCTGTTTTGCAGTGACAGAAAAATATCCTTGATACAGCAAAAATTATAGTTTTATGTCTTTTGTTGTCAAAACCTGGACACACATAAGGTTCATAGTGCACAGTTGTCACTGGGTTACCCATCAGCCACCGGGCCACTGCTATTTCAACCTCAAAGAGAGAGAAGTTGCAATTTGAGACAGTAGCTGGCCCCAAGACAATGTCAGTCTGCAGGAGGCCTGGCCCGGCTGGTAAACAGGTTCATGTATATTTATAGTGTCCAAGGCTGTGCTGTCAGTCACTTTGGTGCTATAAGAAGAAGGTTTAGCTCAGCTTCTTTACACACTTCCTCCTCCTCCTCAGTAAATAACCCTGTGTGTGTGTGTCTGTGTCTGTGTCTTTGTCTCAGAGCTCATTATTGGCACTTGGCTTGTTGCTGGGTATTTGTGAATGCGTCTGTCAGGCCCTTTCCTTTTTGTGTGTGAGGTTGCGTTAATTGGCTGACAGGGCCCACTAGGACTGTCATTGAGTGCTGTATCACTTTACCCTTACATGCAGCAAAATATAACACCCAGTCGAGCAGTCCTACAGGCCCTGATAACACATTTAATTGTTTTAAATGTGTTAAGCGATAATTAATAAGTCATTTCTAATTATGACTCTCAAATAAAACAAAATCTGCTAATATGACGAGTTGACGAGGTTCCAGCAAGGTCATCAGAAAGAAAGAGGTTTCAAAACTAAGAACACAGGGTTTGAGTGGAGATGAAAAATGATCTGATCAATTTGGTTTGTTCTTTGGATAGAATAGGGCCGATGTTAATGGTAACACCTGTGCTTTTCCTGCTATGACCTGTCAAAATGTCTGCTGTGAAAAAGGCTTATTGTACAGTTTATTGAAAGTAATGCTTAATTCACAAGCTTCTTGAATTTATGTATGTCTTTATTTATTGGGCATGTAGAAAATTGAGTATGCGTCTGATGGTTTCACCACAATTGAGTTTCATCAGTGGAACAAAGTTGTTCTCAAATATAAATAGTACAATACATCTGATTTATTAAGAAACACACGCTCAGTTTTTAGAATTAATCACTAAATTCACAGCAAAGCTTTGTCCTCATGCAAATTGAATCTGCATCTTTGATAATTTTCACTTACAATTTAAAAATGTTTTATTTAATTATAATTTACCTTCACTGAGGATCTTTGTCATTCTCAGTGATGTGATGAAACTCTCTTGCAGAGGTTTGTTGGCAGTTAACGTTTGCATTGAAAATAGGAATATTGAATATAAAATGTGGTTTATTGAATTTACAATTCTTAATCGACCTTAATTTATAATTATATAATAATTATCATAATGAATAAATAAAGAATAACGAAAATAGTTCCATCAGGATATAGCAAAAAGGGAAGCACAAAAATATCTAGTGATTCAGGGAAATTGAGGTGAAGCCATGCCTGACTGGTTGCCAAGCAACATGGTAAAAGGAAGTGTCTACTTTAGGCTATAGAACAAATCTCTCACAGTCAGGGATACACTGGATATTCATGTCCTGTTTCCTCCTGCGGTTTGTGTGGTTTCATTAATCCTCACAGATTACAGCTCAAATCAAAGATGATTTACTTAAAGACTGAACACATTAATCCTGTTTTCTTTTTTGTTTTTAAATTTCAAGCATTTTTAAGGTTAATATTCAAACTCGGGCTAAATTGAATTTAAATCTGTTCCAGTTCAGTCCGAGAACTCATCTGACTTTGTTTTCAGAGGGTGTAGACAAACATGTTTGTGCTGTTGTTACCCTCACTCACATGTTCTGGCTTGGCGACGCGTTATGAATTGAGTCTCTGTTTCATACAGTATCTTTTTGAAGTAGTGATTTAGACACTGTTTTCTCACTGTGTGCCTCATCGTTATGTCTTTGTGGGTAGTTATTCTTGGCACAATGTTGTTTTTCTTTTCTTTTTTTATAACAGCCAGTGAGCAGTTGTGGCCCCGAAGGTAAAATGTTTACCCTCAAGCTCATCAACTCCTGACACCCGCTCCAAAGTTTTTGTTCTTTTTCATGTGTTCAAATGCTCAAGTGGCTTGGCCAACAGCAATAGAGCATTGTGATGGATGGGCCAGTGGTTTATTTTGAAAGGAGACTTCCTCTTTACTGTGGCTGATTTTTGCTGAGGGATGGCGCCCTTGGAGAATGATACAGCAGGCTCCTGCCACCACCACCATTCATTCATTGAGGACTTTATATAAGCAACTAGAGGCTTGTGTTACCTTTGATTGAGTCGTGTGTAACTTTCTTTGGTTTCCCTTCAGTTTAGATGACTGACTGTGAGGATGTGTGGGCGGAGGAAGTGCATCTAACCGGCTTTTAGAGAGAAATCTCAGTTTTGCATTTTTAAGTGTGAAGTCTCTAGTAAGGTTCAGACGGTTCCGCCGGGGAATCAGGATATCTCAGTGTAAATGTGAAAGTTTTGTTTGGTAAGGATTAAAGTGAGAGCACAGTGGAGCTGTGTATCTGATCTTAAGTGTGCTAAAAGTTCCTAATGCTGCAGAGAGCAACTTTTATTAAGAGACTGAGAGAACTCGTGAGATAATGGAAGAGGGCAGAGTTCACACAGTTGCTATGGCTCACATGTTTCACGTATGAACCTACTAATGACTACAGTGATGATGGCGGCTTAATTCTACATTTTAGCTGTTTACAAGATACATCAATGGCTTCAAAATCAACTTTATTTATTGCACTTGTTGATAATTGAATGTCACTTAATTGTCAGACGAAGTGGTGTCTAAAGAACACATTTGATTCATAAATCTGGTTCAGTTCACTGATGCAAACTTCATGTATTAAGTGCTGATCCTTATGGACTTCCTCACCATCAAAAAATAAAGTTCATCTTATTCCTCCAAAACGCTGCAGCAGCTGACTGATTGTCAGTAGGTCTATGTAACTTAAGAGTCCTCCAGATTACCTCTGGCTTCTCTCAGACTTAGGAGTTTTGTGCTTTGTACGCAGGAGTCGTAAAGTTAGGACTGACCTCCCCTTTATTTTTACAGGTTTTAGCCTCATGGTGTTTTGTGAATCTAGACCCGGGTGCAGAAAGTTAACCCTGTTTGCTACCCAATTCCACTTTTGGTTAATAGATGGAAGAGAGTACACTGATTTGAGGTTGAAGTTTGTTGATTTCATTGTCTAACCCAGCACTGTTCGAATACTTGGATCATAGATTTGCTACTGAATATCATTGCAACTATTCGTCTACCTTCTATTTGCTGTATCATATAACCAACACTAACAGACAGGACCATCAGCAAGAAGATTTCTATGTAGTTATTCTTAATGCCTGCCACCGGGTCAGATTCCCCTCAAAATCGATGCAAGTAGACGGTGGAAACACTGCTTTGGTCCAGGGTAGAGTTCCTTTTAAGTACTAAAATCCAGGACCACTGAAGTCGAGTGATTTCTTGTTGCCATGTTCTCAACACAAAAGAGGCTAATTTTTCCCCCCAGCAGCTGAATCAATCCGGACAGGAAGTGGAAATGGTCGGTTATATGCACAGAGCCTGTCGGGTTTACCTGAGAGGGCTCGCCATTGTCAGGGAAAAGTGTCTCTTTCCTAATCCCATTAGCTCGTGTCAGACAGAGGTGGCGAGGGAGTCGTGCTGAGATGCTGGATGTGTCTGGGAGAGAGGAGTGGGAGTGAAATTGGGTCACAGGAGGAGCCGACGGTGCAGCTCATCAAAGGCCGACAGAGCGGAGAGGAGATGAGTGGAGTAACGCCGCCGCTCTGCTGATGAATCCATGAAATCACAGCTGTCCTCCAGTGTTTCCCTGTGACTTAAAAATGACATTCACACGCCATTAGAGCTCAGGTCTCTGTCACTTCTAGATTTTAAAGAACAGAATGTTCCTCAGACCTTATCCTTTCTAGCAGACCACCACATGCAAAAGTCACATGCTGATTTGCTCATTTTTGCATCTCTGGCACTGTGTGATGTCAGACTTGGATTGAACTGCATTTGCAAAGTATTTGGGTTTGTGACTTGGACTACCCGATAGGTGGGGTTTCCCACATTGTGACATTTGCATTACTTGATTGTAGTAAATGTTTGCAATTTTTTGACATGCATCTCCCCGCAAGTGTCAACCAAACATATCATCCCCCATCTGCATTCAGTAGTTAACACTTAAAGGGCTTTAGTATATCTTGTTTCATGCCTGATGAATATAATTACTAATAAATACAGGAGAGCAAATCTCTCCTCCTCTTGGCTGAGATTTTGTTTGTGCCGTCTGAGGAGTTCCAGTCTCTAGCTGCAGGATTCGCCGGGCATTAGTGCACTTCAAAGTGAGCGGGAGGAGTACGGCGCTGTCTGTTTTGCTGCATCATTGCTGCAGTGTTCCTTTCCCATTTTTTATTTATCATGGTTATATAGACACAATGCTACTTTTTTTTTTTTTATATATTTATGATGTGCTTGTTGTACAGACTTGCTCCATGCGTACCATATTTAATTTAAAACTTCAAAGCTCAGATATATATTCTTCCTTTTTGAATATAATTTTAGTGGCTTGGCTTCACAAGCTGTGGTATTTGCAGCAGCTTTAATTAGCCCTCAGAATAATAGCAATTTCACAGCTTGGTGACAACACTGCGATGACAGCTTTCAATTTGGGTGATCGAGGCAAAGCCGTGGACGGTTAGAGACATGGAGCACGGTTGGGAGGTTGCCACAGTAGTTATTTTCTCAGGGTTGCTGCAGAGGCCAGCTCATTTCTAGAGGCTTGACAGGCATTACTCATATTTGGCTCCCAGGGTGGGACCCCTGCCTGCCGCCGGATCAGATGGGGAGTTGACTTGAAGCCACAGATCACCTTTTCTATTAACCCAGGTTTTGATTGTTTTCACTGACTTGTAGAGATATGGAAGCAAGCAGCTCACAGAGAGTAGGGTAGCTTTATGCTGCTCTGGGCCTCCTCCCACCAGCACCTGCTGCAGAGCCAAAGCCAGCCCATCATACTAATTTTGCTGGCAGTATAACTCTGAGGACGGCGTGTCCTTGCTGCTCCTTCTTTACTGACACTCTGCCTAGAGAGAGTAAACAAGCCAGCTGGAACAGCGTGCAAGCATGCGTGCCCACTATTGAGGAATTGCAGTTGCACTTTTCCCCTCACTCCTTCACTTTCCTCCTCCCCTCTTTTTAATTATCTTAATTATGGAATCTGCTGCCAGTGGCTGAAATGAATTGCTCAGCTCTCCATCCTGCCAGCGGCCATTAAGGGCGACCCAGTTCCCTCCGGCTGCGATGGCGTAATGCTTAGGCAGGGAGAAAGCGGAAGAGATTCCAACCCCGTCATCAAAATATGCCATATTAATGTTCTCAAGCAATTCGAGATCAATCCAGTCGGCAAACGCAGGTGCAGTAAAAACGAGTTCTGGAAAGCATCAAGATCCTGGCAGTAGAAGAGCGAGAGCTTCTGTGTTTATAACTACTTTCGGAATAAGTGATATTTCCGCTGCGTGTTAAAGCAGCTTTAAAAGTGCCAAATGCTTCTTGCTTGCTTTGGGTTTCTTCCTCCACAAGTGGCCAGGAGCACCGCTGTCTACAGAGAGAGACCTCTACCACGGGCTGCTTAAAATGCTGCACTGAACTCTAAACTCAAAGCTTTTATAGAGTGAATGTACTCAGCTGCAGAAATAGGTGTACAGCTAACAGTAGCTGAATTGTACACAACTTTTGGCAAGTACTTATGGGTAACAGCCTCACGGTGGCCTGGCTGTACAAATAGCTTAATAAAGTCTGTCTTATGTTCCAACTGCAAAAACCCATAACCCCAAAATAACCACCGAGCCCCAGAATTATTTTCGAAGGCTGCTGCTCTTTTTACACCTCATGCGTAGGCTAATATAAATGTTGTAGGTAGAAATATCACACTTTGGTCTCACCGCTTTGGTTTCCTCTGCAGGCTCATGAAAATATATCTGCTCAGGTGTTTGCATTAAATCTGCCCACGTCCTAAATAATAACTCGGAGATGGCTCGGCAGTATTCCCATGCCAGCCGCCCGTAAGCCCACTACAGCGCGGTCGTCCTTAACTTTAAGTGATGGAAGCTGTGCTACAAGGTCGATGTGTGTGGTTCTTTTTTTTTTTTTACTCGCTGTACACCGGCTTTGTAGCGTAAATGAACAGGAGAATATATTTATCAATCTGCTGCTGACACGCCAGAGGAGAAAGTGTTCTTGAACCAAGTCCTGCTTTCACAATGACCGATGACTCAGCACTGTCTCAGCACCACTTCACAGCTTTGTTTCTCAGCTCAGACAAGACAAGTGTCAAAATTGCTATTTAAAAAAAAAAAAAATGTGATTATAAATGTCACCCCCTTTTAGAAACAAGCATGATTGTTAGAAAGCCTGTTGAAATGGCCTTTGAACCACGTTTATAAATACACAGTTGTTTCACTTCGGTTTAATAAGCAGATGTATGCTGGGAAAAGGTTTTCTGCTGTAAACTGAATACAGTCAGATTGTTTTGGTTTTACGGACAATATTTGAATTCTGGTGAAAATACGAACTTTCACTTGTCAGAAAACCCTTGAAAACCTCAAAATCAAAGTTTAATTCCTTACTTAATGTTTATTTGGAGACCTCTCGAGAGTGGCGTAGTTTTATGATAGAGATATTTTTTTATCCTTTTAGCCAAAAGTTTAAGGAATTGATCAATCGGTGTGTTTTATCTGCTCTAAATGTCCAATGTTGGCATGTCTAGCTACTGGACCTACAGTAGTACCTGTACAGTAAGGGGGGTATGAGTATGCACTGTGTTGATGGATGATGTCCTTTATTAGATTTGAGGAAGTTTATCCTGCAGCAACCCGAGCCCAACCTGTCATCCAAGACAGCGCTACGTTTGCCAAACACACTGGTTAGTCCTCATGTTTGAAGCCTTTACATCTTGTAACATTAAAAATCAAACGTACTGTTGGAAAATACAGCCGCTTGCTCAAGTGTGTAAGCTAAGAAGCTAAACTAAGCTTGTTCTGACACAATGCAATACGAGTCCGAGCTTACACGGTTCCTTATCAAATCTACAATGTAGAACCAGTGTTAGCCTCATCAGCTAGCTGTCAGTTGCAGCCGGCAACGTCGACCGCCGTAGGGTCGAAATGAGAAGTGTGTTTTTGTCTGTCACTATCTGAACTCGATGACTGTGTTTCAGAAATGAACCAAGAATTTAGTGGAATCAGTTTAAACTGCGCGTGTGCCCTGAGATCAGAAAGCTTGAGGTGGTTTTAAAAGTAACGAAGACTCAGCAAACAGTCAATTACAGAAACCTCTGGTGTGAAATACCCCACACTGCTCCTACTGTTGGCAGAACATGCTGTGTATATGTAGGGCAGCATTGATTATAATAAGAAGGTGTTTGAGAACATAGGTTCTCAGGGCCTTTTAAACCGTGGCTGCTCTGCACTGTGGATCTCTGCAGTATTTACAGAGCTGCACACCAACAGTCGGCCCCTCTGGTAGCGCCCCAGCCCCGCTCTCCTCCCACTGACTCCTGGGCTAGTTATTAATAGGATGTGGATGGGTTTGTCTGAGTGAGGAAATCAGGTTGCCTTCCTGTAAATATTGCATGATTTCCCTCGAGTCAGCCTGGAATGCCAGAGAGGAGGATACAGCAGAGAATTTTCCTCTCTTTATTTTTTTTAGGTCCTGCTCTTGATGTCAGACAGTGATGTAGCTCCTCTGAAGGCACGTTTGGACTTCACATTAATCCTTATTACATGGTTGTCGAGAACCAGCCCGGTTATTTTTAATCTAGGTGGAACCTGCCGGAGAGACTCCTCCCTGTCTGTCAATAACCCTGTAAGGTGTGCCCCATACCTGGCCGGCTTCAAAGCTTCTTTAACTTTCACATGACTGCGTTGCTGTCATTTTTCTTGTTGCACTGGAAGACTGCCTGACCACATGATGTTTATTTGGAGTGAGCTTCCTTGTGTCTTCAGTTCTCTTACTGTTATTTTACAGTTAATTCAGCCTGTTGGTGGAAAGGGGAAGTCTGTGGTTATAGTCCACAGTGCTGGTTATGGACATGCAAGCACTGAAGGCTGATGCGTCTCCTTTTTGTAAATGAATGAGAGGAATATGTGTTGAGTTTGGATGCTTGTCCAGTTCCAGTGGTTTGCTTTACCAGCAGGAGTCTCATGACCCCTGCTACACACACACACACACACACACACACACACACACACACACACACACACACACACACACACACACACACACACACACTTGGCTTCAGTGTTGTCTCTTAGGCTCATCTGGAGACTTCCAGAGTATTCACTCTCATGCAAATGACATTTAGAGACACCGTAACACAAATGTGTTTGAATGTGTGCCAGTGACGGGATGTTCATGTGTGGATTTACATAAATCTGTTTACACCGATGTTCACTGGGATTAGAAATGCATTAAAACAGTCCATTAGATATTAATAATATATCATTTTAGTTGCATACATGGGGTGAAACACGCTCATTCTCCATAAGCCTCAATACTATCGTACTTCTTTTTTGAGAAGAAATTCATGTTTAAGACACTTCACAGCCAGCAGTAGTAAGAAGAACTTCAAAATAAGAGTTGTACCACTTGGTCTGAATCTGAGCCTCTGTCCTCCTCCAGGTCCCGTGGTTTACGTGCTGGACCTGGCTGACCGGCTCATCTCTAAAGCCGGCCCTTTCGCTGCTGCCGGCATCATGGTGGGCTCCATCTACTGGACTGCTGTCACCTACGGAGCTGTCACTGTCATGCAGGTATGGCCAGTGGTCCCCCCCCCTCAGAGGGTTTGGTTAATAATAGGACCCTTTTAGTGTGTGACTGCAAATCAGTGCATGTGGTTGGATAAAGACCTGGTCCTGTGTTGCTCCTTTCTTTTGATTCTTTATTTGTAAGTAAAAGTCAGTCAGTCAGTCAGTCTCGCTCTGCTGTAGTTCTGACTGTCCCGTCTGCTCTCCAGGTGGTGGGCCATAAGGAGGGCCTGGACGTTATGGAGAGGGCGGACCCTCTGTTCCTGCTCATCGGCCTGCCCACCATCCCTGTCATGCTGATCCTCGGGAAGATGATCCGCTGGGAGGACTACGTCCTGCGTCTGTGGAGGAAGTACTCCAACAAACTGCAGATCCTCAACAGCATCTTCCCAGGTCGGGACAGTCTCTGGTGTGGTGTGTAAGACCGGTAGCATCGCCTTCTGACTTCATGCTTCTGTTACCGGCGCTAATGCTAATGATCTGAGAGGGTGTGGGTGAGAGCAGGAGCTGTATGCAGCAGCCGGAGCACAGCCTCCACTGCTGGACAAAATGGGGAATTAATTAGACCATCTTTCTGCTTATTAAAGAGTCCGCAGGGTGGTAAAGTCTATAATATGATTCTGACAGGTCGTAACAATTGATTGGATTAATGAAGCCAAACTTCCTCGTATAAAGTTGCATTTTTCAGTCTCGCTTTTAAATGTTTTTGGGAGAAACTTGTATTGATCGTGCCGTACGACTACAAAACGAAACCGACAGGAACCAATATAGATTCTCCTTTGTACTTTTTCCCCCAGTATGGACGTGAAATGGGTCTTAGATTGCGTTCATAATGGTCTTAAAGTCAGAAATTGAACCAGTTGAAACATGCAGAAACCGCATTACGTCAGCTGTGCTCTCGGGTCCAACCACGTGTGTTTCAACTGGCTCCCTGCCGCTGTCTGTGCGTCTCTGCAGGGATCGGCTGCCCAGTTCCTCGCATCCCGGCAGAGGCCAGCCCCCTGGCAGACCACGTGTCGGCCACGCGGATCCTGTGCGGCGCTCTGGTCTTCCCCACCATCGCCACCATCGTGGGGAAGCTCATGTTCAGCAGCGTCAACTCCAACCTGCAGAGGACCATCCTGGTGGGTACAAGCAGAACCTCCTCCTACATCCAACACAAAGATCCAAAGGAAGCAGGTTGATGATGGGAGCGTCAGAACCACAGCCCCGGTCTCGGGTCTGCTCGAGCTGCATCTCGCTGTGTGTCTGTATGATTGATTATAGTTCCAAAAATCGAAATAATTCCTTAGATGTTTCCTGCACGCAGCAGCCTCTACAGTAGTGAATGAATGGATCCGGGTTAGCTCGTGTTAACTGTGCAAAATACGATCCGTTCGTACAGAAGAGAAACCCGGTGGTGTGGACGGAGAGGAAACCAGAGTGGATCATGTGATCAGGCTGCACTGATCCCACTGAACACTCTGTCCTTAACCCCTGAGCTCCAACAGTGACAGACAGGCAGGCAGACAGACAGACAGGCAGCACAGAGCTTCACCTCTCCAGGAAGGAGGAGGAAGTGCCCTCGTTAGAGATGAGACTCCAGATGAGTTCAATTTATCGGCCCAAAACCTTCCAGAACATTTATTCCATCGTTCGATTCTGTACTGATAATAGAGAACAACCTAACCTCTACTGAAGTGCACATATTAGATTAAGAAACAATCGTAATGCTACAGATAATTCTCGAACCAATACATTAGGGCCCGGGTTCAGTTCTGACCTGTGGCCCTTTGTCCCCCCCCCATTTCCTGTTTACCTTCAGCTTTCTCTGTCCATTTAATGGCATAAAAAAAGAAATTATTACACACATTGCTGTTTTTATACTTTGCTTTGTGTACAAATGAAACAAACGAGAGATGAGACCTGATGGTGAGGAGATTGAACAATAGAGAAATAGAACATGATGATTAAGAGGTGTGGGTTCTGTTACCTTCAGGCAGCTAGCTGTGTGCAGTCTCTGTGCTTCATATTTACCGTTGGGACATGAGTGGAATCGATGTTCTGAAACGGTGAACAGTATTCTCCTACACAGTTCAAAGTGTTTATTCAGAGTTATCAAACTGCTCCTGAACGTTTGACCCCACGCAGCCGGCGAGTACAATGAGCTGTTGTAGAGGGTTTAGAATATTCCTTGCGTCTGTTCATGTGTTTATGGGATGTTGGGTGCCGTCATACGTGTGACAGCCGGCGAGGAAATGAAAGAAGATAATCCGTGAGCGAGGGGAAAGCTTTGATGTGTCGAGCTGATTCTGTCTTTTAAGCCCTCTTTCAACACGCTCTCTTCCTCTTCCTACAGGGAGGTATCGCTTTTGTGGCCATTAAGGGGGCGTTTAAGGTGTACTTCAAACAGCAGCAGTACATGAGGCAAGCCCACCGCAAGATCCTCAACTTCCCCGAGCAGGAGGAGGCCTGAGGAGGCGCCGCTGTCCAGAGTGAGGACGGCTGGACGAACCGCACACACCTCTCTGCCGGAGGGGGGGAGGGGAGGGGAGGGGAGGGAGGATATGAACCATGGGACTCGCTGGTGAAACAGACTTAGGATCACCCCCTTACTCACCTACACCTCCCCCCTCCCACACCTCTCTCCTCTCACCCCCTCCAGTGTGATTCATGGCACCGCCGCTGACGCCCATGCAAGGATCCCCCGCCACCGCACATTGTTTTTAAACTTTTGACGCTTTCGTGAGGCGAGGACGGATAAGACTTGTGGACACTGGAGCATGTTTGCAGACACACACACACACACACACACACACACACACACACACACACACACACACACACACACACACACACACACACACACACACACACACACACACACACACACACACACACACACCAGAGAACACACCTCCTTCCCAAGAACTGGTGTGGTGTGACTGAAGGGCGGATGTGCTTCTACAATCACATAACTAACATTTATTGTAAACTTACTGTATTTTAAAGGAAAACCAAATGCGGGGCATGTGTAATTAGAAAGTTTTATAATAATAATTAATAATAAATAATTGTTTTATAATGTTTATTTTGCAGATTTGAAAAAGCCCCCTTTTGCCAATGTTGGGAGGGGGGGGTAACATTGAATGAAGAATAATGTTCAGTGTGTGGAATGTATTAATGATGAAACAATAAAATGTGTTTAACAGTTGTGAATCATAATGCAGTAACATCGGCCACAAGCAGGAAGCATGAAAGGGTTAATGTGACACACACTGACTACAGGTAGGAAGATGGCATAGAGCCATTTGTTTTTATTTGAGGGGTGTTTCTGTTCTTTGTTCTCATGCCTTGGCAGTGTTCACGTTGATGTCCGCAGCCATTTTACGCAACGCTCTTACGTGATGTGTTTCAAAGCTTCACCAGCCATCACAGTGCCCCCCCCCCCAGGTTGGGTCGAGCTCCTGTTGCCGTGAGACTGTCTCCAACAGACTGGTGGATGGATAATATAGACGCCTATGTCCTTTTTTTTTTTTTTTTTTGCAGTCACAAAGCATTTTGAAAGCTTCAGGTCACATGATGTTCGACGCAGCACTTTTCACTGGGAGATGTGAAACGAACATTTCAATCTGGACTTCAGCTGTTGGGTTTTTTTTTTTTTTTTTTTTTATACAATTCCCCTTTTTAACCCCAAACATGTGATGGTCCGACTCGTTGCCTGAGTGCGGACCGGAGCTCGGGTCAGACTGTGCTGCCGAGGTCATTATCATGCAGACAGTGACACTTTGGACACTGGTAACTGAATGAGTCACAGGGAGCGGTTGACATTTTGGCAGGACTTTGGGGAAAATTAAAGGGTCAGTTCAACCAAATGAGAAAAAGCCATATTTCCCTTATTTACTGCTAGTGGTATCTAGGTTTTATTTGTCTATACCACAATTGCATTTCCCGAAAATATCATTTTTGGTGTAATTCGGGACCATTTCTTTAAAATGTAATATTTAAATGCTGTTACAATAGAAAAGTTTTATTTGTTCAGACTTTGAGGTTTCTATTACTATCCCAACACAAAGTTAGAGGTATATGTGAAAATGGGGCTCTTTGTAATTCCAGTGAACTGACTCTTTAACATACCTGATAGTAAGTAGGTGTGTTTTAAATCATTAGGAGCATGATGTGAGTATCAATTCCACGTTTTCATGTGACGTTCATAAGAGAATTAAGCCCTAGGTTGCTGTGTTCTACCTCTCTAAATGAACTAGGAAACGTCAGTATGTGACCTTCTGTGGCGAGAGACGACGTATAGCCAACCACTTGGAATATTTAACCTGCACATATAAACTGTGCCTGCTTTACAACGTCCTCCTACAACCTGCACAACATCTGCTTCCCCCTGCACATTCACTGTAAAGTCTCCACTCTGCCAAAAGAGGATGTTGAAGTCTGAACCGTGTTGTACAGACCGTTGTCTGAGTCTAGAGCTCTATGGTATCAGTTCTGTGAATAAATGTATTTTTCCAACATTGAAGTGCACGTGTGGAGATTGTGGGGGGGGAGGGAGAGTGTTGCATTAAAAACACACGCTGTTCCATTCAGTAGTTTTATTAATTAGAAACACACGCACACACACAGGAGACAATAAAAAGAACAAACTGAAAATGTCAGCACTCTTGTATCACCGGCCCCATAAACCCAACCAGCCAATTAACAGTCTTGTGTTGCTCAAGACATCCAGAAATAATAATAATAAAGAAGCTTCAGATTTCCTATATGTAAACCAATCACTGGGTACTTTATAAGGTCAACAGTGCATGGGCCACACAAGCATGATATGTTGCTAGTTTCTTCTGAACACTGCATGAGAACAGCTTTGTCACCGCCCCCCAGGTGCTGTTGAGCTACTGCCTGTGGGAGTGAAAGTCTACCTAATGCTGCTGCTGGTTTCTGACCAGAAAGGGAATATTGCCTTTTAATAAAGCAGCTGATCAACGAGGGGCAGCCTCCTTATAAACATCCTAATGGTTTGGTTGAGACGTAGTAAAATGCTGGAAAACATTGAAGAAGCTTTTGATACGGCACAATCATACAGGTTCTCCCTTACATCTTAAATCTTTGAAACTCTGCAGCATCGTATGAGAGCGGTGGACTCTGCCTGAGAGCGGGTATTCTGGGGAGGCGGGGTGGGGTGGGGGATAAATCTTAACATTTTTTTTGGCTCTTTGAACAGAGTGGCTGGCAGCTCCACCTGCAGTGGTTTGTCACAGCAAAGCTGGTTAGCACCTGAGAGAGCAGGTCACGCTTGCACGGCACTGACATCACTATCCACCCTCACGGGCCGGTCCCCCCCCCCCACCGTGGTTTAGGCTGGAGCTTGGGATCAGTGTGGATCCAGCTGCTGGGGCCACATCAGGCTGCCTCCCTGTCCACATCATAAGGTTTATTGCTTAGTGAGAGAAGTGCATATATTCTGAAATGAATCCAGACTGGAGCTTTTCTTCAACCCCCCATTTAGACAACTTGAAATGTTTTTTTTTTTTCAGAGAGGAAAAGAAAAGGCTAGCTGCCTTTTTATTTTTTTAATTTTTTTGACATCTATGCTTGCTGTAAGAGCCAGTGCACAGTCCATCAATTTAGAGGGGTTAGATCCTCCGGGATTGTGCCCCGGGATCAGACCAGGAGCAGCTCAGTGCAGCCAGACACAAAGTAACTGATGCTCCGCGCCGCGCCCCCCGAAAGGCACAAGCTGCAGAAAGTCTCTGCAAGTCTCAGACACAGAGTGTAAGAATAATGACGACATGGGAAATATAAACTGTCTCTACAGACGTTGTTTCCTCAGTTTTACAAAAGTAACTTGCAGACCAAAAAGGAAGTTATGTAGATGACAGACTGATAAAAGTGTTTTTATTTTTAATCAACCACTAATAAAATTGAAGGTAAAAAAAACAGCATGGAGGTTCCCCTGAGATGTCGGAATTACATACTACTGTAAAATGTCATAAAAAATGAAAATAAAAACAATTTTCATGGGCATGGTTCTCTGTGATTAGCAATTTCAAACAGCTCCTCAAAGGGTCCCAACATTTTACCAGTTTACAAGCAAAAAGACATTTCAGAACCTGCGAGGATTAAAACCACGAGTGCAGATATTCTTCAGAAACGCATGAATTTGAATAAAATATTCCATTGGACCGAGTGCGTCTTTTGTGATAACGTTTTCACGAGCGTTGTTGTTGCCTCCGAGAGTTACATGGCAAACATACCAGTCCAACAAATAAAAAGGAGGAAGAAGAAGAAGACCTTCGTGGAGCTACCGTCTTTAACCTCTGCAGCCCCGAGTTCTTCCCAATAAACCAGCTATCCATTCTCAAAGCAGCATTCTCTGATTATTCAAATAAAACGCCTCCTACTGTGAAGCTTCTGCAGTATACTTAAACTCATCTTAAAAGGGATCTGGCCCTTGTCTTTTTTTATTTATTTATTTTTTTTTTTACGTTGTTTCTACTTCCTCTACAACAGCCACAGGACTGTGATGCGTGAGTGCTGCGTCTCCCTTCAGAGACTTTTATACCACGAGGGGAGTCTGGTGCGACCTCTAATCGTCATCACAGCTACGTCGACAACCACGGCTAACTTTTTGTGATTCAAATACACGCATTTGTTTCCAAGCATCTCTTCTAGTGGCTCCAGCCTGCCACACGTGCACACACACACGTATTCACATGCACCCACGCAAACACACACACACACGCACGCTAATGCAGGCTCGGTCAGATGAAAGTCTTCCTGACAGGGTGGGTGTAGGTGGGAAACACAGCGGGGTCCCTCGCGGTCGCCCTCCACCACCCCCCCATCCCGGCGGCCCCCATGCTGCTGCGTGTCGACCTGCCGGCCTCGCTCACAGTTTGGCGGCCATGAAGTTGATGTGAGGCTTGACCAGGGGGAAGAGCGGCAGGCTCCTCTTGAACTCCGTCATGTCCTGAACCAACGTGGGCTGCAACATAAAAATACAGTCAGAGATCCCCACTGATCACACGGTCCGGCTCCGTCTGTTCCCTGGGAGGACAAAGCCTCCTTAAACTGCATTTGGCGCACAGAGCAAAAGAAGAGCAACATTGTTTCCATGGCAACTAGTTAAGGTAACCTGCAGTTAGTGCTTTAACTTAGAAGAGCTTATAACGCTCGTGTATCAACAGCTTCCTTCAGCATCAACCGGTTCTTCTCAAAAGGGGGAAATTTAAACTTCCTGCCTTCAGCAAAATGTCAAACTACCCGGCATAAAACAACGATTACTGCAACAGCACGGTTCCAATTTCCAGGACATTTTCTTGACAATTCAGGCTCAAAAACAGTCATACTCTATCAGTAGGCCGAGCATCGACTTTAACTCGGTTGTGTGCCTCCTTTTTTTAATGATGAGGTGTCTCGGGTGCATTATGACGGCGAACAGATCGCTGCCCGTCCGTTCCTCTCTGCGTCTGCTGTGAACAGCTAGACTGACTGACATGGCCGGAATGAAAAGGGAGCGTTTAAAATGTTTTTCCGTTCCACTTCACGTCTGGTTAACCCTCTTTGAGGTGTCATAC